CAATTAACTCTGTTTTGATTATAGTAAATGCTGCGGAGCATTTGCCCAATTTTTCAAGAAGCACACAGTATTGTTAGTTGTGTTATATCGAGTTTAGTTTAAAAAACGCTGTAGATAGTCGATTTTCATTGAGAAACAGGATATAATTTTATAGCGTCGTTGTTACCTACGATTCATTCGTCGATACCGTGAAGAAGGCTATAATATCGTATATTTGGATGAGTCATGGGTAAACGTAAAGAATGGGTAGACACGTCTATTAAATCGTATAGTGATGCCTTTGTTCATAGCCTGACTACATGCTTAAAAGCTCCTGCAACTCGTGGTCCTCGATTAGTCCTGGCTTTGTTAATGAGATAGAACTAATTTTTTTGGCAAAGAAAAACACTCAAGATTACCACGACGAAATGGATAGTCGACTCCTTAACAGGAGTGATGTTGAATAATGCTCCTTATCATAGCAGGAAATTGAAGACAGTCCCTAACACTGCTTCCATTAAAAGAGGAATAAAAACATGGCCATCATCCAAAGATATACTTTTTGAAGAAAATTATTTAAAAATAGAACTTTTGAAAGTTCGATATATAATTGAAGATATTGATCAACAACACAATTTGAAAATTCTCCGCCTTTCGCCCTATCACTCTGAGGTCACCCCATAGAGTTGGTATGGATCGAAATGAAAAAATGTATTGCCGCACACAAAAAAAAAATTAAAAGAAGAAGTTAGGAATTTAATTACGGAAGCGTACTCACAAGTTGTCCAAGAAAAAATAAAAAATTAGATAAAACACGTAATAGGAAAGAAACAGATACATATGTAGAGACACGACAACATGATGGATGATGTTATTTAACTAATTAATACAAACATTGGTAGGACGGACAGTGATAGTGATTTTATTTTTAGTGACACAGATGAAGCTGATGAAGAATGACTTACGTTATTATCCACAAGGAAAATAATTCCTGCAGCTGGCTGTATATCACAAAAGGGGGTTAGATCTTTCTAATGGGTATATTTAAAAAAACCCTTAAAAGGGCTACATCAAATTACACAAACGTTTTCGGAATAATTATTCCATCATCAGGTTTAAAAGTGTCTAATATAAGTCTAAACCATTTAGTTAAAGCAAACGTGTTTTGAAATTTTGACTAAGGTTAAAAAAAGCAAAAATGGTTATACTTACAAATATAATGTCTGAGCCACCAAAATATCACGGTAAAAACCCTTTAAAATACTTGATACAAATTTCTTGTTTTTGTGTATTTCTAAATTGTGTTTCTTTAAACAACAATTTTATTTACACTATCGTCACACCCCCACCCAATTTTTTCCGACCCTATTATTAACTTCATAACCATCCACATCCATCATACCAGACTATTTCATCATTTTCTCCTTTCTTCACGTCTACATCATATTCCTGTCCATTCTTCTTTCTTTCTTTATTTCTTGGTCATTTCATATATCAATCATGTACTCATTAGTTTTAAACTCAGTAACCATTTAAACATAATCTAACAATTTAACAGAATTCATTATTTCCCCCATTACAAAAAAATCCTATTCAACCATCGCTTCCCTCTCTTGGTCAACAACTTAATAGCACACTCACACATCAAATTCCAGGTTTTTAATGAACCGAATTTAATACAACCAAAATAGATTTTGTCACCGTATCGTTTCCGCTTAGATCATTATCCCTCCAGAAACTGACAGAGAATGTAGCGTAGAAGTAATTTTAAACTGTTTGTCCTCGTTTTAGTGTAGTGTTTTGTATAATTTATGTTAGTTTTAATGTTTCCACATCCTACGCTTGCCGGATAGTTCTTATTTTGACGAAATGCCCCTAAAGATGCTATTTTAAGCGAAAGTACTTGGGCTAGATTTAATTAACTTGTGCTCGATAATAGCCTTATTTTCAAAGTTAAAATATATTTTGTTTAGGGTGCTAGATGTTTTCAGCATGAAGGACCTCTATTATCTCTAATTGTTGATTAACTCATTTACTTTCCTTGAACCCCCCCCCCCCCCATCTTCTTCAGTCATTTCTTATCAAGTCTCTGGGGAGCTCAGCCTTTTGAATTTTAAATTTAATTCCATAGGTTATAACTTTAATTTCTTCAGCCGGAAGATTTCTAACTCTTTTTCAATTTATTAGACTTACTTATATTAACTTTTTCACCATACGAGCAGTCTAAAACAATTTCATTTAAATACGAGGTCTTATATTATTATTAGCTACAAATATATACTATTCAATTTTACCTTGTCCTAGATGTGATCAACATAAAAGGACAATTTCATATATCTAAGCTAATCTATCACAAATTACACTTTTTAGACCACCCTCCATACGAGAAAGAGTAACAGAGGTTGCCTAATACACACGTCATTCTCTTAAACATGACCTTTAACACCATCGGTAATTTCACATCTTTCTCACATCTCACAAAATTTTAAATCATAATATCTGGATTGCTGTTATTTTTTTAACATAATCAAAGTTTTTGAATCTTTTGGCTGTAGTAATACTATGTATAACTAATATTGTTTCTTAGTAGAGCTTACCAGCTGTAGTCCGTTGGAAGAGGTTTACTCTCCGGACGCTGAAACTCACCTAAGACATGGGTGTATGTTACCTAAAGTGAAATTTAATTTAATATTAAACATCAAATATTAATTACAACATTATGTACAATCTTTTGTAACCTTAAGTATTTTAAAGGGTTTTTACCCTAATATTTTGGTGGCTCAGGCATATTAACTTGTAAGTATAACTCTTTTTGCTTTTTTAACCTTAGTCAAAATTTCAAACCACGTTTGCTTTAACTAAATGCTTTATACTTATTTTAGGCATTTTTAATTCTGATAATGCAATTATTATTCCGGAAACGTTTGTGTAATTTGATGTAGCTCTTTTTTACGGATTTTTTTAAATATACCTATTTACAAAGATGTAACCCCTTTTTTTAAGTTATTATGTTTAATTTAAAATCTAGTTTCCTACTTCCTGTCCCTCCCTGGTGAAGGGCAGCAGCGATCATCAGTACCAGTTCAAGGCGTAGAGGAAATGATCCTGGACCCGGCTTAAAACTGGATTACCACAAGCATAACTGGAGCAGTTTAAATGGTTGTGGTACTGCGATGGGGAAGGCAACGGGAAAACCACCCCATTATATTTTCCACAAATCTAAATAACAGACGAGAGAAAGAAAATGGCCCTCAGTCCGGGGCACCCCTTTAATTGGGAGAGGGTGCGAAGAATCTCCCCGTCAACTACCCAAGAAAGTGGACAGAGAATACAAATATACGACCGAATAGTACGTATTGCCACCTGAAACGTACTCAGCTTATTTATGTCCGGGAAACTGGCAAACACTGAAGCCGAGATGATAAGACTGAAAATAGACATCTTGGGGATGAGTGAAGTAAGATGGCCTGGTTCAGGACTACAAAAAACAAAACATTGATACATATAAAAAATTTATTTCAAATCCTTTATAAAACGTATATAATAAAATGCTTAAACGGGCTATCACAAATATATTACAAAACGTTTTTGGATTGTTAAATCCATTATCAGTGCAAACGAGGTATACATGCTATGAGCCACCAGAATATATGGGTCAAAACCTTTTAAATGATATAAATTTACAGTTGCTTTACATTATATGTGGTTACAAATTATGATGTTTAAGTTACCGTTGGAATTGGTTACGCCATGTTACCATGATGATCTCAAGACAGTTCTCACCAAAAAAATATCAACAGTGTTAAGCTTTTTAAAAGACATCAATTTATTCAATTGTATTTAATGTAATATTTCATGTATTTGTTATAGCCACATATAACCCTGCGCGGTTGATGTGGTTTTGTGTTTAAATAAAAAAAATATATTCCGGTTTATGATTTTATTTGTGAAAATATTCTTGGATATTGTTATCAAACCATTTATAATAGGCGGAAAATTAAGAAATAGTGATTCACACAAGTTTAAATAAATATGTTCAGTTTGGATAAGACAATATGTTAATAAAGAAAAACAAGCAAGCAAGCAAACACAAATTTGTCACTAACAAATTCCCATAGAACGTATTTACAACAATAAATTTATTTAGTTTAAACTTTGCCATAATGTTTCTCCTTTCACGCCAGTACCAACAATGAGAATAGTCGTTACCCGTTATTGCGTACCAGAAAATCGATAAAAAAATCAAAGCTCATTTATTATGGGCGCTATGGGTATAGAGTACTTATGGCCAGTGCATTGGTTTCTTTAATTCAAAAGAACAATCGTTTATCGGCATAACGACGGGGCGAAATGTTGTCGAAGGTCATTTTCGGTATTTGAGTATGTATATAAACACAGGGTAAAATGGAAATAGTATCAGTTTGATCCTGTGTCTCAGTCAACTACTCAACATGAACTCCATGGTAAGCAGTTTTTGAAAACAACAATTATATCTCCTATTTTTATTCTTGTGGTCAGATTTTTTTATGACAACTTTAAAGCAATAACAAATGGGATGGAAAAAAGAAAAAATTAGTAGGTACATTTATTAGTGGCCTCCCTAATCTTTACCATCTTCTGTTTTAATTATTTACCGTTTTTGTTTAGTTGCCATTTAAAATTTAGCTATTTGCTGTTTTCGTGTACAAAAGTGCTATACTCGATTTGAAAATGGATTATAGCAATGTTTTTCTGACAGAAGGTTCCAACAGCCTTTATATAAGACTAATCTTTATATACGACAATTTTGTACCAGAAGTTGTCTCTTATTATATTTGGAAAAGTTTCCTCAATGTTAGTGTCTACTAAAAGTTGTGCAAACTAATTTTTCACTTTTGAATGCCTTTATTCTACAAAAGGAAAGTCTTCATGCATTCAGCGTCTCTTGTAGAGGTTGCTGTTGAGCATGGCTATTTGCACTTTCAAAATTTCTGCACGGAATAATTGACAAAGGCTTCGCAGCCAAGCAATTCTTTTAAGTTTCAAGCTTTTCGTCCAACTAGCTTTCCTAGCATTTTAAGCTGTAAGTCATATCGTGTGTCTTTAAAGATATGGTCCAGGAACTTAAGATTTTTCTTCTTGATTAAAAAAAAAATAGGTTCAATGTTAAGTCTTTCTAGTACTGCCTGATTTAATACTTTATCTGGGCAAGACACTCTAAAAACGCTCCTGTAGAACCAAATTTCAAAGACCTCGTTCTTTATAAGAAGTTTTTTATTTAGTGTCCAGCTTTCCACACCGTATACCAGTACGAAAAGTACATAACACCTTACCATTCTAGTTCCTAGAGTCTTAAAACAAATGCGGTACTGTTGATAGTTTTTCCGTTTGACGAAGTTCGCTTGTTCAATGCGTAAATGAATTTCTTCTAAATGCTGGTTAGTCTTTTTGATAATAATTTCAAGATATTTGTACCGAGAAATTGAACCTGTTTATTAAAAACTGATTGTCTACTTGCTGTTAACTTTTTTCTTAATCTGTACGTCATACTAACCATAGATACTTTATTAAAAAGTCCCTGAAGTCTTCCAAATTATTGACTATTATAACTGTACCATCAATGTATTTGATATTGTTGACAATAATTTCACAAAGACGAAGTAAACGGTATTTAACCACATTTCTCTCTTTATTTACTTTTACATTATTTCTTTTCTTTTTCGGTCTTTATTGATCTGTTGTGTTAGGTTTTTAATTTCATCATTTTTTTTAATATTGTTCTGAAGCTATTTTCTTGTGGCATTTTAAAGTAATTACTATTTAAATGGGAATAAGCCACAATTTAAGGTTAAAGTACGTTTATTGACGTTTCAATTTCCACTTCGAAAATCTAAAAATTCGGAATAGATTTCCGAAGTGGAAATTAAAACGTCAATAAACGTACTTTAACCTTTAATTGTGGCTTATTCCCATTTAAATAGTAATTATTTCATCATTTTCCACGTGAATATAATTTGATTTTCTTAATCTTTTTATGTCATGGTTTTAACTAGTCAGTGATCTTTTTAGTCTCTTTTGCATAGTATTATTCTGTTTTTTTTTTCTATTTATGCGTTTGTCATATATTTTCGTTAACACACTATTAGCATTAGATACTACTTGAGTAGCTTCAGCAACTATGACAAAAATAATTAAATTACTTATTTGACTGAATACAAAACATTTTGCTAGAGTCTATCTAACCAACTTTTACGTAGTCCAAAATTAAACAAATTTGTCTCACTTGGAGTATTTTCTTGTAGCGATACTTAACATATTCTTTTTTGTTACAGATTGTACTCGCTTTCGTCGCTATGGTAGCTACCGCCTCTGCCTCCCACTTGGGTTTGGGTTTGGGCTTGGGAGGATGGGGACACGCCGGTCTCGTCAACCCACATGCTCTTAGCCCAATTGGACCCTCTGGAATCGTCACTGGAGCCGGAGCAGCCGGTCCCTCTGGAGTCGTAACCGGAGCAGGAGCCGCTGGACCCGCTGGAGTAGTTAACGGACACGGAGCTGTAGGACCAACTGGACCCAACGGACATGGTGCCATTCTTGCCCCCGGTGCCTTAGGATTAGGATTGGGATTGGGATTGGGACATGCCGGTTTGGGTCTTGGACTCGGCGGATGGGGTCATGGATTAGGAGCTGGCCATTTGGGTCTACACGGTTAAAAAATAATTTGCAACAAAACGGAATGATCGTAATTGGTGACTGTTTATGGAACTGATGTTAAATTAAAATAAAATTTTGTATATATAAAAGTCATAGTATTTTTATTCAAATAGTACAAACCTTTGCAGGTCGATTTTGTAGCAAACACAAAAATTAGTAATAATCTATGATATAATTCTACAAACGATATAAAATCTTGAACGTACGTAATGAGCGCAGATTCACAGTATCTGAACGGCATGGGTAATGTTTGTTTGTATGTATGCTGTAGCTACGTGTCTGCCTATCGTGTTACATAGATAATGGAAATTCCCATGTCAAAAAACTACTTCGAGATAGAACTGAATATTATTACGTTAATAGCAGTAAACAAAGAACAGACAATAAATTAAATTTTAAATCAAAAACTATATAAGAAAGCCCTGAAACTAGTATTTCCACTACCTAATAAAAAAAATTGGGAAAAAGTCCAATACCTTCTGCTCGATTACTTATACAGCCGAGATATTAACCAAAATAGCCAAACACATAAGAAAGAAACAACAAACAGCAACTTAGGCAGATATACTAAGAAAAATAAGAGCCAAAAGAAAAAACACTTACACTGTGGTGTATACTGTATACAAACTTGTGGCGACTGACTGTCCAAAAATTTATATCGGTCAAACTGGCAGAACTTTTAACAAACATAGCAGAATACAAAAAGGTTTTCAATAATAGAAAAACAAAATCAACGTACACACTTCACCTTCTAGATCATATTCATTCTTTTAATGATCAATTATTTTTCACATTGACAATAAAGGTCATAAGCTATCTTTATTAGAATCTATGGAAATTACCAAATTATAAAATACAGATCTAATTCTGAATGGCCAACTTGAGACAAATAGTTCTCTCCTCGTTAACTTATTCAGTTGAAGAATATAAAATGTAAACGTAAATACCAAAAATAGATCATTTGAGAGAGGCATTCTGCCTCTGAAACAGCTGTAGTAAAATTAAATTATAATAGATTGTTATAAAAGTTGTGTTTATATTAAATTGGTTATACAAGGGAAAGTAAAAGAAAAAAAATGACCGGCGATACAACGTATAGTTCACCAAATATAGCTGAAAGTGTGAAATCCCCATTGCCTGCGCCAACAATGAAGTGAGAACGCATATAAAAACGGTCTGGACCGTCAGTGCGAGTGCAAGGTCCGTCGTTTGACGTTGACGAATGCGCATCATGATCGTCACGCGTTTTCACACGTTCAGCTATATTTGGCGAAGTATACATCTGAGTTAGAAAATTTAAAGCAGAGGAGTGGAAAAATAACAATAGAACTTTTCAAAACTGCTGCAGATAGGCTAAAATGGGTCGTAATATGAAGCACATGAAAAATAAGGGGGAAGTTCAAAAACTAAAGTTGTCGGTGTTTTATTGTTAGACTGTTGATATCTTGTTCCCTGTTGTCTGAGAATAGATTTTGTATATATATTTTCCATTCGTTGCTTATATTTTTTATCCATTTCTTCGATTTCTGTTGTTGAGGTTCTATCATTCGTGTCTATTGGTATTCCACTTCTTCACTTGTGAGTACCGTGCCCAAATTAGGCGTGGATAGCTTCCATGACTATTTGCCGATATTGCTCTTGATGTTGTGGGGCATATAACGGTTCATCTGCTGATAAGAATTAACAAAGGTTTCGGAGCCATGAATATTTCCTGCTACAAAAAGAGAAATCATACGATTTCTACCTGGAAAAATCGAATTCAAATCTCAGCCACCGTGCTTTCTAAAACTTGCAAAGCAAACAGCTTGATGAATAATTCGGCAAGGGAATCTAGGATTGCATTCCAAATGCCGTTTATCATGGCCAAAATTCGTAGTGAATTCAATTTCTGGTACTCCAAACGAAGTAAAGAAATAAACAAAATGACGGTATTAGATTTTGATTCGATACAGAGCAGCGACAAGCCGCATATACGTATTTCGACCTCTTTAGGTCTCCTCACTACGGTATAGCCACTACTCCATAGGAGGAGCATTTTAGGACCTTGATTCTAAGTTGTAAGTTCAGCTGAGAATTACACGGTGTAGATCTAAGTTTCATAAAGGCTGCTTTTGAACTTTCTATACAAGTTTTAATTTTTTTATCTGGATTTAGTATCTCGTTTATCCAACATCGTAGGTATTTAAAATGGTTACCATTTGTAATCGGCCCGTTGTTGACGGTTGATTGCATATGACCAACGACCGTTATTAGAGCATTCTCTAGTGACTCGATCTACAAGGAATTGAAGATCTTCGATACTTTCAGCTATGATTGCTGTGTCATCTTCATATGTCATGTAGGTAATAGTTTGTGCCCCAATTCAAACCCCACACTGTTCGTCCAAGGATTCGTTAAATAATATTTCCGAGTACATGTTAAACAAAGTTGAGAATAACACATAATCCCTTGGTTGACACCTCTTTAAATTAAACGTTGATCTGTTTCTTTGCCGTGTCTATCAGAATAGAATCTTCTTGATTTCAATTTAGATGTTTTAAAAGCCTTAGATCTCTTTCATATATTACAATCATTTTTACTTACCCAGCCTATTATGTTGTACGATAGTAAACGCCTTTTCAAAATCTCTAAAGCAGACGTAAATTGGTTTCTGTACTTCCCATAAACTTTGAAGTAATGTTAGCATTAGGAACGAAGCTTCTCTTGTACCCAATCCTTCTCTGAAACCGAATAGTTTGTTTCCCATTGTTTCTTTACATTACTGCTTAATTATATTAAGAATAATATTGATAAGCAGCTTGAGAGAGCGACCTATATGACTAATTAATCTTAAGTCCTTACATGATGATGTATTAGGTTTTTTGGGAGTGGGATAAATATAGAGTTCAACCATATTTGTAACATTATTCCAGTTTTGTAGTCCAGTCTGATTGTATTTAGTCAGGGCCTGAAAATTTCCCATTTTTGCTATGTTTGATGGTTTTTTCTACTTCCGCTTTTAAAATACTTAAACCAGTATTCGTATACTTTACGGTGTTAAGTAGTGATCTCTTAGCTAGGAAGAGCCCTTTATGTAATTAGTCTATTCTTCCTTTTGTTTTCATTTAAGTCATAAAACCCTTGGAGTTTCTCATGAACTAAGAAGTCCTTTTTATTTGAGTGTAGGTAAATTCGTCATGTTTTCTTTGTAGTTCTTTTATTTCATGATATCTTTGTTCCATCCAGACCTCTTTTGCTCACTTAACTTCGTATCTTATATGTCGACATAGTTCTCTTTATTTAGTTTCATCTAGTATTTTGCAGATATTAAGATATCTAACTTGCGTTTCGCAGACGACACTACACTTCTAGCCTCTACTCCAGAAGAAATTACTAGATTATTAAAAAAACTCGAGGTAGATTTGGACTCATGGTTAACTACAACAAAACCAAAATCATGGTTATTGATCGCCAACAACAGTTTCCTGAAACCCAAACTATTGCGTGATGCGAGGTAGTCTCATCTATGATATATCTTGGAGCTCTAGTTAACAACACAGGCAGTTGTGAATCCGAAATTAGAAGACGCATTCAACTAGCAAGAGCAGCAATGAGTGAACTAAACGGGGTCTGGCGTGATCGTCACATTACTATGACAAACAAAAAGAGACTCGTTTCAACTCTGGTCTTTTCCATATTTTACTATGCATGCGAGACATGGACAGTCAAAGAATCAGATCGACGACGTATAGACGCCTTTAAAATGTGGACATGGAGACGCCTGCTTCGAATTCCATGGACGGCTCGCCGTACAAATATCTCGGTTCTGGATGAAATTAAACCGGATCAACGTCTCTCCAGTACCGTTTACTCTGGAATTTTAAAGTTCTTTGGCCATATCCATCGAAGTGATCACAAAATGGAGCGGTTGGTGGTCCAAGGAAGGCCTCAGACTTAACGCCAACGCGGAAGATCTCCACAGCGATGGGCGGACATTACTAAAAAGCTTCTCAATAAACAGTATACTGAGGCAATACATATAACTGATGACCGCGACCAGTGGAGAAATATTATCAATCAAACTGTCCGAGCTGCTGAAGCCCAATTATGAACCACAACACATCTACTAAGATGTTAATGACTGTGATGATGAGTATTTTGCATCTTTGTTGGAAAAGGTCTAGTATTTTATCGGTCATACAATAGTTTTTCTTTATTCGGTTCTTTTTTAGTTTCAAAACTTCGTTTGCTATGGTGAGCATGGTGGAATTCATTATATCCAGATTTTAATATAATATTTTACATAAACCCTTGGAGTTTGTCATGAACTAAGAAGTCCTTTTTATTTGAGTGTAGGTAAATTCGTCATGTTTTCTTTGAAGTTCTTTTATTTCACGATATCTTTGTTCCATCTAGACCTCTTTTGCTCGCTTAACTTCGTATCTTATATGTCGACATAGTTCTCTATATTTAGTTGCATCTAGTATTTTGCATCTTTGTTGGAAAAGGTCTAGTATTTTAACGGTCATTTAATAGTTTTTCTTTATTTGGTTCTTTTTTAGTTTCAAAACTTCGTTTGCTATGGTGAGCATGGTGGAATTCATTATATCCAGATTTTAACCAATATTTTCTTGTTCAGATATTACAAGCTGTTTTTTTATCTCACGATTTATCATATTTCCGTATACATCTGCTATTACGGCATTCCCCTGGAGTCGATTATTAGATTTCATCTGAGTCGTCAGAGCTTTTATTCTTATCAATTTTAGTTTGAATCCAGCACAAAGAAGAGTATTGGTCATTGCTGCGTCTGCACTGGCATATGTATTTGCAGATGTTATATTATTTTTAAACTTTCTAATAATGACATTGTAGGTAATGTGATTTCTGACTATCGTTACCCGTTGATCATCTAAATATGTCAGGTATATAGTCGCCTTTTAGTTGCTAAAACAAAGTATTTGCCATAATGCATTTCTCTTGTTGGTAGAACAGTATTAGTCTGTGTCCCCTTTGGTTTCTTTCTATAAGTCCATACTTTCTGGTTGTATCTTGTGTGATTTCAACTTTTGAAATTTTTGAAATCTCCAATTATAATAGTAGG